TAATTTTTATTTCATATTTATTAAATTTTCTCCCAAAAATAACCAGACTTTGCTTAGATTTAATCTAATTGGAGTTATAGTAAATAGTTTTTAAAACGGGGAAGTAAGAAAATATTTTAATTTTTGTTTAAATTTTAACTTACTAATCTTCACAATTTCATTTTCAATCCAACTTTTAGTACATAAAGATGCTCTTGAAGTTTCTGGATCAAGACAGTTTCGAGTACGTGATATGGTATTTGTTGCAACTGAAAAAGCCTGCTCACAAGCTATACTAGTAGCTTGAATTGACAAATAATCATTTGACATACGTGCTAATGTTGGAAATTCCTTTTCGTGTACTTTCTACTATAATAATGGTGCAACATTCTCATCACAAGGCAAAGCTAAGTATCACTCTAATTTATCAGCAGAGGTTCGATTTGTTTCATAACCTGATTCTAAATGACGTCGTTTAAGTACCTTAAAGTAATTACATGTTGTACTAATATCATCTTTATTAATATGCAGGTTGTAAGCTTGCTTATTAGTTAATGTAGTATGATACTGATTAAATACTTCCCTAGCTTTATTAACTACATCAGTGGTTTCCTGTCCTATTTCAAAGAGCGATAATTTGGTTTGTGAGTCAAGAATTGATGCAACAGTATTATTGTCATTAATTATATATTTATATTGGTCAATTTTTTCATTAATTGATGCAGCTAACATATACTAGCCAAATTCACTATCTTTCACATATCCTTCAAGATATTCTTGAATGCCACTAAATAAGAATCGAATATCCATGATTGTCGGATATGATGTTGCAGACAGTAATTTTGTAGCTCTTTCCAATGGTTCCATTAAGATAAGTATTTCCTATTTAAATTAATATAAATAAATATTAGACTATGCAAAATTAATTATTATTTTTTATGACTCAACTAGATCAAAATTAGGAAACTTCTAAACCTTAATTTTTGTCCACATATCTGGTGTAGGCATTAAATTTTGAATCTCATCATGATTAACAGCTAGCATTCTTAATGCAGGTTGTATTCGTGATATTTTATTTAACATATAGTATATACTATTCCATCTAGTCATGATATCTAATTCTGGTTTTAGGTAATCTAATTTT